AAGAAGCCGAATGACTTAGGATCTAGGAATATGAAATACCCGTAGTTTGTCGTTTTTTCCCACATGTCCCATTTTCTATCTTGATAGACAACTATTTTAGTAGATCTTTAAAGAGTGGTCAAATTTTTTTTAAAGGCTAGTTATTTTAAGTATGTCAGATAACATGAAATCAAAATGCCAGTCTCAGCGAATGTTCATTTGACATGTATTTAACTGAACGTCACCGCAGAGTCCAATAGAACTTTCTGTTTGTTCTCTCTTTGAGCGGTTCAGTACAGGAGCCACTCACCACATGTGGCTATTAGGCCCTTGAAATGTGTAAATAATTACCTGGTGACAGTGGCTGTGGTATTGAACAGCAGAGATCAAAACCCCGGGACTAGCGCATTGAACAAACAGGCAAACATCCTTGTGCTTATAGAGCTCACAATCATTTAACGTGAATCTCAGTTTTCGTTTGGCAGTTTTTAACTTAACGTTGCTGCTTACTGCATGGGTGATAATGGTGTCTGCTATTGCAAGACTTATCAGGACTTGCTGACACACAGCTGACAGGGCATAAGTGGTGTCCAACATTAGGTTAATTTTAGTTAAAAAAAAGAAAAAGATAAGAGCTACTAAAATCTGTTTACTTTTGTATAAATTAATAATTTTCTGTGTTTGCTCTCTTGTTGAAAACTGCATAGTTGACCAAGAGTGACACTTGGGAGAAGTCCTCCAGGTGTCACATTTCCAGGAAAAGAAGCTGCATTTGTGGATTTTATTAATTCACTAGGCAGTTAGTATCTCAGTTTTTCTTAGGATGCTTTCTTTGTGGAGAGGGATGTTTAGTGACTTGGGCAGATGTTTGCCTACTGGAATCCAGTTATTGAGAAAACCAAACATATTTATACTAGAGTCCTTATTCCTAAATGAATTATATTCAAGGGGGATCCACAAATTTTAAAAAGTCATCTTAAAGAGAGATTTCTGTTCTTGCTCTCAATTTCTATGCACTTGGTGTGTAGAATTTGAGGAGTCCTGTGTAGTGTACCCAAAAAAGAAGAAATAATGTGTATATGTTTACCAAATGTAAATAGTTTGAAAGTTATTTGTACATTGACCTGGAATTTTTCAGCAGTTTTCCTGTCTCTACATTCTGGACTCTTTTTTAAAACTGTGGTGAATCATCACCACTTCCTTTCTGTCTAACATTTGGAAATAATTTGTGTTTGTTTCTAAATACCTCATTTAAATTTTCCAATGACAAACTGTTGGAGCAGAACACCTTGTAACTGACTAGGGTTTAGTTGCTTTGTGGAATCTCCCATATGCACTTTGTGTGTCTAGTTGGACAACAATTAGAAGTCACGTTGGCTTTATCCTGATAATGTACAGCTGAAAAAAGACATGATACGGGTAATTTTATTAAGGTATCTTTATGCCTATTGACATGGAAAACACTACATACTTTTGGGGAACTACAATAGAAAAAAGACCTGCTGTTCCTTTAAGCATTTATAAGGTCTTTTTTTCTCTGCCATGTTACATGAAGGAATTAAAGAAGCTTATCAGAAAAATACAAAATATGTAGTAAGATGTGCAAAATTCTCTCTAAGAATTGTGGAAACTGGTTTCCAAATAATTTTCTTAACTCCCCATGGTAGACGGAGTTTTAGAAGGCTTGTGAATTTGTGATATGTTTGTTACAGTCATTTCCCAGCAGTAAAAATTTAAATTACCTATAGGATTTCATAGTTGATGTTGTTTCACATTTTGGGATTCTGTGTCATTTATTTTAAAGATTTTTTTCTAAAGACATTTTAAAGCTGCAGTATTAGAGATTTTTTATGTGTAGGAGAAATTGCCTACTGTTAGAAATGGGAAAAGCAATGAGTAGAAATGAAAGGAACTTTGAAAGTAAATATTAAGAAATAATAGGTTAAAGGTCATGGGAGACAGTATTTGTAGGTGCATTAAGTTGTATATGCAGGTTTTAGAAGTGTTCATTTCACTTCTTTTGTTTTTGACTCACTCTTAGGCTCCTGCTTACCATCTTATTTTAGAAGGAATTCTAATACTCTGGATAATCAGACTTCTTTTCTCTAAAACTTACAAATTGCAAGAACGATCTGATCTTACAGTCAAGGTAAGAAATTAAATCTATTTTATTATTTGGTGTATATGATAGTTGCTACGTCTTTCCAAAAAGGACTTGTGGCCAACTATATGCTAAAATCTTTTCTGTAATGTAAGGAAATCAAGGAGAATGAAATATAGGATAGGCAAAATGTGGGAAAGCCAAGGACCTACCCAAAGGAGTAGCATGTTGCAGACTTCTCTGCTTTGCTAGGTAGGGTAAACAGCAGTCTTACGAGTTGATGATGAAAGGGAAGCATGGGCAGCTACTGTATTTGCGATTTCCATATGCAGGATTACATGAGTGGCTCGTGAAAAGCCCCACTATTTCTGAAGCCTGTGAAAGTTTTACTGGTGGTCTCTGTAAAGGAAATTTGGATTTGGAAAGAATCTTCCTCACTCCACACTCCCTACCTCCCCACCCAAATCAAATTTTGATGTGTTCTGTATGGTAAGAGTGGGTGACCGCAGCATAATTTCGGTCACTCGGATTGTTGTGCTTGGGAGGCAGGGATCTTTCCCTCTCCCTCGCTTCTTTTAATGACTACTTTGTGGGATTATCATGCCACAGAACGAACACTCTTCCTATAGCATTGCAGTAAGACTGGGCCCTGCAGGCCAGAAATCCTGTCCATACTTTTTCCTTTAGTATTTAGGAACTTCTTGTGAATGGTTAGGTGGGCATGAAACAGATTTCTAGCCCAGCTTTTTAAAAGGGTTGATTAATCCAAATATTCTTAGTTTTAGTTTAAACATATCAATCCACATATATACATTTTTTAAAAAAGAGTGATAGGTAAACATAGTTTTAGAATAATCCTCTGAAAGCAGACTTAGCTAGAACAAGATTTAGGAATTGCTGACATCTGACCCTGCCAGCAGTGGAAGGGAGGAAGCTGAGTGTTGTGAGTGAGAAGTGCCCTTCTCAGTTTGATAGAGCTGCACAGGTTCTTGCATGGCATTGCATCTTGAGTGGATTCTAACATCTGCACGGTAGCAAGGGCACAGTGTGCGTGATGGACTCCAGGCTTGTGCTTGTTCGGGCTGCTGTTCTCTTCCCTGAGGTCATTGGCAGAAACAGATGAGAAATTTATTGGTTGATTTATTCAGCCAGTATTTTTGAGTGCCTGAAAATCAGATGACTGTGCTTTTGGCGCTGCTCTGGAGTTGCCTACCAGGAAAAAATGCACAGAAGCATTTATCGGAAGTGTGAGACTAGAACTATTGAGAGGGGGCCTATTTGCGAGGCAAAAATTGCTGTGGCCATCATGTTAATTTAGGTGCCTCATCTCATCCTGTACATACAGACCACATTTTCAGAATTACTTTTTTTTCTGATTCAAAAAGGGATAAGAAACACTAAATAGTCAAAATACTTACAATGCATGAAGTAACAGATGCAAGGAATAAGGTAGCTTTTTATGAGAAATTCCAAACAAAATCCCATTACAGTAATTATAAGAGTTTTTTTTTTCTGTATTTCAGCTACACCTGAACCCTGCAGATGGCTTGTAGGACAGTGCTTTGTGATCTGGTTGATCCCTTCCCATGATGGCCACCTCTGTCTGTACTTCGGGTGTGGCTTTCTGTGTTGTCTTGGAATAGAGGCTGAGCTGACTTAGCAGAAATCATGCTTCTCACCCTTGTATTGTAGACTTTCTTTTTGTTTCACAATCAGTATAAGTTGTACTTCATACTTCCCACAGTGAAAAATTCTGACTATAGCCCAGCCTAGCGTGGCTTAGCAGTTAAGCATCGACCTAGGATCCAGGAGATTGTGGTTCAATTCCTGGTCAGGGCACATGCCTGGGTTGCGTGCTCGATCCCCAGTAGGGGGCGTGCAGGAGGTGGCCAATCAGTGACTCTTCATCACTGGTGTTTCTATCTCTCTCTCTCCCCCTTCCTTTCTCTGAAATCAATAAAGATTTATGTATATATTAAAAAACAACAAAAACTGACTATAGAAATAAAGTTTTCTTAAATTTTCCAGTCACTCGCAAAACTACGTGGAAAAAGAGCCTTTAGCCTATGATAAGAGGTGAGGAGGTTAAGTGCCCAAAACTCAGAAGTGATTCTGTTTCATTTCTAGCCACAACTAGAGCTCTGATTCTAGCAGTGTGTTCATTATGACGGTTCCATTACAACAGACAATTCAGATATTGCTGGAGTCACTGTCCCGTGACTAGCATTGTGCTGTTTTAACGCCTTTTCTCCTGTAGGAAAAAGAAGAATTGATTGAAGAGTGGCAGCCAGAACCTCTTGTTCCTCCCATCTCAAAAGACCATCCTGCTCTCAACTACAACATTGTCTCAGGGTAAATCAGTTTGCTCCCAGAAGGACTTGGGTCTGGTTTCCTGTGGGTACACTCGCCAAAGTAACAGTAGTTTAGTGGTGCTACTCTTTCACCTGAAAGAAAACATTTAGAAATCTCTGCAGATCAGAAACTACCTGCTTTAGTTCCCAATAGAAAATGTTCTTTTAGGAATGGTATGGGCATATTTTGTAGTCTCCAATTTGGGCATTGCAGTTTGTCCCTTTTTCTAAAAAAAAAAAAAATCTCTTTTTCAATACACGTGCGTAATAATATGTCAAATGGTCAGACGCCCTTAAAGTGAAAAGCCTAGAGTAGGCAAATCCATCAAGTGAAAAGCAGCACTCCTTCCCACCTGGTTTCTTTCTGATTTTAGGTCTGTTGCAGGTTTCCTTCATAATATATTAACAGTATGCTGACACTACTACTACTCGATTGATTAATGGTAGAAAACACCTGTGGACTCGCAGTATGAATTATGAAACTTAAGCTCACTTATCCTGCCCCTCTTCTTGCTTCCAGTGTCTGATCTGGTTTTATTTTTAGTTCTTCTATTGGTTATCTTTGTTTTTTTTATGTGCTTTTTAAAATTAAAAAGTATTTTTAAAATACAAAAAATATCAGACACATATTTATTAGCCATTCAGAATTAATAGGCATTTTACTGTCTTCACTTGAAATCTATTTTTAAAAAGAAAAAAAACATTACAAATATAGCTAAAGGAACCCTTTCCCATATGTCACTCTTGCCTCCCAAACACGATCACCACTACCTTGAAGTTGGTGGGTGTTTTTATTTTTTCGTTTACATTAGAGTGACAAAGACATTCTTCTACGTGTTTTTTGATTGTGTTTTCCAAACTGTCTTTTTGGTTTGTGACTTGTCTGGAATTCACCTTTGTACATGGTTATACAACTTTATATTTCCCCATAGAGAAATATCTTTGTGTAACTTAGTCGTTTGTGGGGCAGGTGCTGTTGTTTGCCAGGTAAACATATACACACTTCTCTTGAGCTCTAGATTCTCTCACTGGCCTAGTTGTCTAGTCTCAGCTGTGCCAAACCCGACATTAATGGAGTCCGTCATACTTGTTTCTTCCTGGCAAAGCACATTCTCCATTCTCCCTGTTTCTAAGTTCACTTAGCCATTGACAAACCTTTATTCACCCATGTAATCTAATAATGAGGTTGTGGCTTTTGATTGGGAAGGGTTTTATTTTCCCTCCTTACCATTCTTTGAGGCCTTGACTGTGGAGCTGTCTTTCTAGATTGGCTTTACTTGCTTCTGCAAGGTGACCCTGAAGGGTCTTACCCTCCAGGATTCCTCCTTGCATGGGGCACAGGTGTGAGCCTACTGCTTCTCATGGGAAGCTGCTTTCCTTTCCTGTCCCAAGTGCTGGACAAAATCAGATCCCCACGCCTGTGTCATGCTGCTTCTTGCCTGTGCTCAGGGGCTTTGGGTGTGCTTGTTCTTGATGGTTTGATTTCTCTGTGACACAGTTTTTGTAGAATGGCCTCAGCTTTCACAGCAGCAACCATCACTACAGGCTTGTCTATGTAGGTGTTTTGTTTTCTCATCTTTTTGTGGGTGCTGAACCTCCACACAATGGATTCACAGTCACAATGGGTGGAAAGAGAAGGAGTCCTTGAAGCCATAGGGAAGAAAGAAGAAACCCTTAGAGAGCACCTCTTTGGACCAGGCACTTTTGTATGACAGTTATCTTGAGAAAAAGGTTCTCCCCCCATTTTACAGATGAAGGAACTAAGATTTACAAAGCCCTGGTAATGTCCACATGTTTCTGAAGCCATCAGTAGCCACAGGGCAGATGGGATCTGTCTGACTCACTCTACAATCCTTGTTCTTTTCACTGAGTCATCTTGGCCATTTGTGAATATTTATATGCTTTTGTGAATTTACTTGAAGTTGTCTTTCATTTCCTCCCTGGTTTCCTAGCATCTTTTGTTATCTTTCTCAGAGAAAACCAGTTCTGTTGAAACATACCAATGAGAGCTGTTTCTCAGTCTTTTCTGGCTACAGTACCTTTTCTGCAGACCAGTGCAGATGTGTGGCTGAAACATGTTCCAGGCACAGTCCTTTCCAGTACCCTAGGCAGTGCCTTCAGGTAGTACCACTCCATTCTATTCTATGGTTGTAACTGACTCAGTTTGGTCTTACAACTGTTTAATTGCTCATGACCTGTAGCTTGGCCCTATACTTCTGAAGCAAGGCCTAAAGCTAATGTTTGTCAGCAAAGGACTTGCTGGGTTGTCTGCTTGGGAGCTCACCTCCTGTCCCAAGCATACTCACTCAGCTCCTGTGGAGCTGGCCACTCTGTTTCCTTTAATATGTGTGTGTGTGTATGTATGTATGCATGCATGCATGCATGCACGGGAGGAATTTCTGTTAAATAGTATTTCAGCATTAACTTTAGAAATTGGTTACGTATCCCACATATTCTTTTAGTGGCTCCCTATAGATAACATTTATTTGTAAACCACTTAACTGTAAGATCATAACTTGCTCTGCCCATTCCTGCCTTTGATCTTGTTCTCTTTATATTTCTCCCCCGTTTATCTTATCCCAGAATTTTTCTGAGATACTTTATTTAGCTATTCTTTCTTAAGTGAATTATAAAATCAAAAAAATATTTGCCATCCATTCATTTTGAAATTCTAGCTTCTTAAGTGTACAGCAGGGTAGCCTATTAAGAACAGAGTTACTGACCGAGTATCTGATTTTAATATATGGTTGTCTCATTTTACTTTTTAAAAGTAAAAAGTACAAGAGCTAGGAGACCGGAATGCAGATAGGGTAGAGTAACATCACTGTGAGTCCCATCTGCTGCCAGGGTAGTGTAGTAGCATGTGTGCTGTGACAGGTGTCAGCTGAGTAAACCATTGTCATCTCTCTTCCCCAGCCCTCCAAGCCACAGCATCGTGGTGAATGGAAAAGAATGTATAAACTTTGCCTCCTTTAATTTTCTTGGATTGTTGGATAACCCTAGGGTCAAGGTAAGTAGCACCTATGCTGAAGTGGAAAGATAGTATGACGGTGTAAGAAACTGGACATAAAAGACAAATGCAGAACACCAGAAAGGGCTGTAAGTTCCTGCCATTACTGTTTTCTGGAAGAGCTGTGACCTGCATTTCCACAAAGGGTGCAGGAGTGCCATTGTGGCTTAGTGTTGTATGAGCCAGACCTGGTGATAGTTGGAGATGTGTCTAGGAAATTGTTTCATTTCCTGTTGGGATTGTTGGCCAGTCAATATTTTTGAGTCCAGACTTATGTCCACAGATGCCCAAAAGTATAAAGGCATTGAGTTAACCAGGATTTAATAATTGAGTTAATAGAACATTTCCATGTTTTAAGTTATAACCCTGAATTTTTATGTCTGCTTTTTATATGCTGTTGTTAGGATGTCAGTTCTAAGACAGGAAGTAAAATGAGGGAGGGAGGGAGGGAGGAGTAACAGGGTTGAAGAACAGGACATGCAGTTGTGACCTCTTACTTTCTCTTCTTCCACAAAGGCAGCAGCTTTGGCATCTCTAAAGAAGTACGGTGTGGGGACTTGTGGACCTAGAGGATTTTATGGCACATTTGGTACGTTTGTGTATTTTTCAGACTACTGCTTTCAAGAATTAAGATTCCATTTGATTTCAAAACTCCTTGGAAAAGATATCGTTACTTAGTTGTGGTGTTAAGCTGGTGAGTGCTATTTCTTACCTAACTTTCTAGAACATTGTTGTTTGGAACCATTGGTTGGGATTGAATGTCACTTGTGGAGAAGAGCTGTAGTTCCTTTAGGTGTGTAGTTCTTAGGTGAAAGCCTGAGCTGCTGTTTCATGTGCTCTCCCCCCCCCAAGGGGCATTGTTGTGAGGAGACCCAGTTTGTTTCTGTGGTGCATGACAACTGTAATGGGAAAGGTCCGGTGTGGGTGGCTCTGCTCTTCATAATTGTGCAGGAACTGGGATCTTCCCTGTCTCTGCTCCAGCGTGGAGGTCATCATCCTTGTCTGCATGGCTGCAGACAGGTGGCAAGTATGGGGGAGCAGGAATGCAGGGAAGCAGTACCCTTTTAGGCAGGTAGGTGGCGCCTCATATCACTCTCTCCACATGGCATTGGTGAGACAATAACCTAGGTCATGCCCCGCTGCAAAGAGGGCAGGGAAATAGCTCTAGCTGGACAGCCACCACATGCCAGGGAGAAAGGTAAGAACAGATTGGGAGGCAATAGACTATGTAGCTCTTCTTTCTTGAATTAAGATGAAGGATCATTGATTTCCTTGGGTATGGGTACCCTGGGATAGGCTAAGTGAATAGTAGGATGAGTATGTGATTTCAAACACTGAACTTCCCTAACTGAGATTTGTCAAAGACAACCTTGGCATTTTCTGGTTGTGTTTATTAAATGTATATTGTTCTTCTGAAATTTTTGAAAATGTTAAATAATTTTCAAATGAGTATAAAGCCCAGGAAGTCTTTTGTCTTCTGTCCTCATTTCTGTTTCTGGGTGTGTGTGTTTCTTTAACAGTTACGATGTTTTTATTTAAGGGAGCACCTTTCTTTATTCCTTAGCAAGTTCAGCGGTTAAATTATTTACATTGGAAACAGGTGACAGGAGTTAGTGTCCAAGAATCCTACAGCTGGAAAGGATTTGAAAATCTTGTACTCCAGCATTCCAACTATTCATAAGACAGAAATCCCAGGGAGGTTAAGAGACTTCCTCACAGTCACACAGTTCATTAACTTCTGCCCTAAAACTAGAAACCAAGAATGCTGACTCCTAGTCTTTTTTTTTTCTCTCATTTAATAATCCTTGTCTTAATATTTTTTAATTTTTCAGTTATAGTTGACATACACATATATTAGTTTCGGGTGTACAACATAAATTTGTATAACTTATAAAGTGATCACCCCGATAAGTCTAGTATTCATCTGACTGCATACATATTTAGTATAACATTATGACTATATTCTCTATTATATCTCTTTTACTAACTTTATAACTGCCAATTTGTAGTTCTTAATCCCTTCATCTTTTTCACCCATCTCCTCAACCCCCCTCCCATCTGGCAAGCATCAATTTATTTTCTGTATCTATGAGTTTGTTTCCATTTTGTTTGCTCATTTACTTTGCTCTTTAGATTCCATGTATAAGTGAAATTATATGGTATTTGCCTTTCTCTGTCTGACTTACTTCACTTAGCATTTTACTAAGTCCATCCATGTTGTTGTAATTGGCAAGATACATACATGACTTCTTCTTTAGCCATTTGTCTATTGATGGATACTTTGGGTTTTTCCCATATCTTGGCTATTGTAAATAATGCTGCAGTAAACATAGGGATGCGTATGTCTTTTTGAATTAGTGTGTTGGGTTTTTTTCTAATAATACCCGGAAGAGGAATTGCTGGGTCCTTCTTTGGCTCTTGTTATAGCCTTGGTTTTAAAGTCTGTTTCATCTGATATAAGTATTGATACCCCAACTTTTCTTTTGCATTTCCATTTGCACGAAATAACTTTTTCCATCCCTTTATATTCAGTCTGAGTCTCATTCAGTCTGAAGTGATTCTCTTGTAGGCAGTGTTTGTAAGGGTCTTGTTATTTTTCCATTCAGCCACCCTGTATCTTTTGATTGGAGCATTTAATCCATTTACACTTAAAGTGATTATTGATGGGTATGAAATTATTGCCACTTCATTATTTATCTTTTTTTCCTCCTCCTCGTCCTGTCAGCATTTCCCTTAACACTGGTGTGGTGGTGATGGACACTGTTAGCTTTTTGTTGTTGCTTGGGAAGCTCTTTATCTGTCCTTACATTCTAAATGATAGCCTTGCTGGGTAAAGTAATTTTGGTTGTAGGTCCTTGCTTTTTATCATTTTGAATATTTTGTGCCAACCCTTCTGGCCTACAAAGTTCCTGTTGAGAAAACAGCTGACAGTCTTATGGGAGCTTTCTTTGTAGCTAACTAGTTGCTTTTCTCTTGCTGTTTTTAAGATTCTCTCTTTGGCATTTTAGTTATGATGTGTCTGGTGCGGGCCTCTTTGGGTTCATCTTGTTTGGAACTCTCTGCATGTCCTGGACCTGTAAGTCTTTCCTTCAGCCAGTTTAGGGAAGTTTTCCATCATTATTTCTTCAGATTGGTTTTTAATCCCTTGCTCTGTCTCTTCTCCTTCTGACACTCCTATGATGCAAATGTTAGTAGCTTGATGTTGTCCCAGAGGCCCCTTAAACTATCATTATTATTTTTTTTAATTATTTTTTTCTTTTTGCTGTTCTGATTGGGTGTTCTTTTGTGTCCTTATATTCCAAATTCAACCCTCTGCTTTATCTAATCTACTGTTGATTTTCTCTAGTGTGTTCTTCATTTCAGTTATTATATTCATTTCTGACTATTTTTTAAAATGTTTTCTGTTTCCAGTTTTGTGGTTCCTATCCTTTTGTTAAAGTTCTCATTGAGATCATCTAGCATCTTTATGTATTTTAAAATCTGTATCTGGTAGATTGTTTGCCTCCATTTTGTTCAGTTCTTCTGGAGTTTTATTCTGTTCTTTCACAAGGGCCGTGTTTCTTTGTCTCCACATTTTGACTGCCTCTCTGTGTTTGTGTCTACATTTCATGGTCTTGGTAGTGGCCTTATGTAGTAGGTGTTCTCTAGCACCCAGTGGTTCTGTCTCCCTGGTCACCTGAGCTGGGTGCTCCAAGAGTGTCCCTTGTGTGGGTTGTGTATGCCTCCTGTTGTAATTGAGCCTTGATTGCTGTTGGCACATCAATGGGAGGAAATGACCCTCAGGCTGATTGGTTTTGAAGACTGGCTGTGACTACAATAGAGGAGCTGTTGTGCAGGAACTCACTCTACACAGTAGGATTCACTTTAGTGTGGATCTAATGCCTACCAAGTCCATCCTTTTGGTGTGTTGTTTGTAGAGATGGTTGGGTGGTGCTCTGATGTGGTCTGAAGCTGGCCACCAAGTGTGTTGGTTCTGGAGCCTCTTGGGAGGCACTCTGGTGTTGCCCAAGGTCAGCCACTGCCTCTACCCTCCCCAGGGCCACCTGATAGGAGCTAACAAAGTGATCTACATATGGTCACCACTTGTGCTTGGCTTGGAGGCACCTGGAAGAGGCGAAGCTCCATGATGAGGCTGGCTGCTAATACTGCCAGACTTAGGGCTGCTTAGTAAGAGTTATGGTACATGCTGAGGCCAGATGCTGTTTATTTGGGGTTTGTGAACCTTTGAGGAATTTAGGAAAGTCCACAGCATGAGACAGTACTGGCCTATTGTATGAAAAAGCTGCTAAAAGTGGCTTTGGTGGACAGCAAATGTGATAGGGCAGGATCTCAGGGAATTACAGTGTTAGCCAAGTTGATGGAGACTCAGATAAGGTGCCCGCCTGCCAACTCTAGGTGGGGGAAGTTATGGGGACTTTTCTTACTGGCACTGGAACCCTGGGCTGGGTAGTCTGGTGTGGATCTGGGAACCTCAGGGGGACCTCCGAAGCCTAGATATCCCTCCCCATTTTTAACCTCCACACGTAGGTATGGGACTCTAGCCCATTCTGCATCTTTGCCCATGGCTGCTTCTGTATCTCCTTAGTTATGGGACTTCTGTTCAGCTAGCCTTCAGGTGGTTCTCAGTGATAATTGTTCTGTAGTTTATGCTAATTTTGATGTGGTTGTGGGAGGAGGTTTACCTACTCTGCCATCATGATTAATGCTGACTCCCAGTCTTTTTTTTTTTTTTTTTTAATCCTCACCTGAGGGTTTTTTTTCCATTGCTTTTCAGAGAGAGTGGAAGGGAGAGAAACATCGATGTGAGAGAGACACATCATCAACTGGTTGCCTCTCACATGGGCCCCAACCAGGTTAGGAAGCGAGTCCATGACCCAGGTACTTGCTCTTGACCAGGAATCGAACCTGGGACTCTTCGGTGCTTGGGCCAATGCTCTAACCACTGAACACACCAGCCAGGGCTGACTTCCAGTCTTAAAGGCAGGATCAAAGACTAAAACGAGCTCTGATCAGTCTTCTTCTTTGCTCTAGCCTAATGCAAACATGGGTTGTTTGCTTGGTTCTGATTGGTTGGGAATGAGTTCCTTGATTAAGATTAGAAAACTAGGAAAGGCATTTTTATGAGGTGGTTTGTTGTAATCTGGTCAACAAGGCTTTCTTTCTATGATCTGCCTACTGGGGTAAAGAAGGTGCTTTCCTAAAAGCCTCTCTTTCTAGTGAATTTTCTTTGCGTGTGTGGCATTGGCCTCTGCTTGGGAGTTAATCTGAGATGACAAGAGATTTATTGCTAAATCAAATCATGAAAAACAAATGTTTCAAATCTTCAAGACTAGTTTCCCCAAAGCTGTGGAAATACATTGTTAGAACAGCTCAGCCAGCTTGCCATTTGGTTCACCTGAAATTTACTGTGCATAATCGGATGCTGTGTGCTTCCAGACATGGGTCTTCAGATGGATAGTTTTAAATTAATTTTCTTGATTGACTAATTCAGTCCATGGTATAAACTTCAATAAGTTTATAGAGATAGTGAAAAGTTTTCCCTTTCCCACTGCCATCCTACCCCTAAAAAAGACAGTTATGATCAATAGT